GTATTTTTATGATAAGATACTTGTACTTTTACTCAAGTATCACTTTGAGGTACTTTATACAACACTGATATTTAGAGACTTACCTTGAAAACCTGCAGACATTAAAACAGTTGTTGATAATTTACATGAATCAAAGATCAGATTGTTGTTTTACTGAAGCAGGTCAACATTTCAGAGTTCAGCTTTAATCAACTTTCACATTTGTTTTAGGAAAATGTTGTTTTACACTCTGAGTAAATCCAACCATTTATTTTTGTTTTGATTGTGGTTAAACATGAACTAAGCGGTCACCAGTGTTTTATAAAGTACCTCAAAGTGATACTTGAGTAAAAGTACAAGTATCTTATCATAAAAATACTTTGGTAAAAGTTAAAGTCTTCTCTAAAAATATTACTTSAGTAAAAGTACAAGTATCTTATCATAAAAATACTTTGGTAAAAGTTAAAGTCTTCTCTAAAAATATTACTTGAGTAAAAGTCCTAAAGTATCTGATATTTTTGTACTTAAGTATCAAAAGTAAATTTCTGACACAAAATCTACTTAAGTATTAAAAGTAAAAGTACTGAGTAAAAGTGAGCAGTTAGATTTTCCAAAAATGACATTTATTGGGAGGTGACTTCTCCAAAAAATATTATTTCTAACAGTGTGCAGCTGTGATGGGTTGTGTACAAGCTAATAGGGTGTCAGAATGGTATATATTTATACTTCAACACAATTAAATTCACTCTGTCCAGGAGACACAATTTACCAGGATGGTATTTTTAAGTAATAACAACTCAGAATAAAATAGGAGTAACGACTTTCTACTTCTCACCTTTTTAAAAAATGTAGTGAGTAGAAAGTACAGATCATTGTGTAAAAATGTAATGAGTAAAAGTAAAAAGTAGGCTGAAAAATAATTACTCAAGTAAAGTACAGATAACCAAAATTTCTACTTAAGTACAGTAACAAAGTATTTGTACTTAGTTACTTTACAACTCTGACCATCACATGCCTTGAAGGAATGGAGAGTTTCATTCCAGGAATTTATGTGTCTTTCACTTCACAATAAAGCACCAGTCTCTGTTAAACCCRGACAATCTGCTTTATGCTATAAAACAGGCAGAGAGCAGCGTTGATGCCAGCACACGTAGTCCTGAGAAGAACAAATTCCACAGATGGGAGACAGAGAGCAACCATCCAGTTCTTTTAGAGATGAAACAACTGAGGCAAACAACAGATAATAAGGCACATTGTGTGAGGGTGAATGAGTTTTATAGAGTTTCTATAACTTTTGGGTTTTTTTTTTTTTTTGCCACTAACAATGTAAGTTAAGTTTATCTGGGCTTTTAGATCTTTAAACCTTAAACTTTGCAGATGCAGATGATATGAGCTTTCATCTGGACACGTTCTCACTACACCGCTGTGGTTAAAGATAAAAGAACAACCATAAAACACTCAGCTGAATACTGCTTTTTAATGGTGTGAACACCAGGCTTCATTTGAAAGTTTTTTTTTCATGCAGATTGCATTTAGATATAAAATACAAAGAATGTTGATATAAAATCCTGCTGCTCCTGTTTAACATTATTAATAAGAAGAACGCTGTTAACGTTAAGCTATTGGAATTGAAATTCTTGTATGATTATTTAAAACTGTGTGCTATTTCATAAAAAAATTAAATCAAAGAAAATTTCACGCTTATACACAGTAAACTTAGAACAACAGTTTAAATAAAGCAACAAATTTACAATCACTCTTTAAAACCTTCACATCTGTTCAGTTTGGTGCTGTTCCCCAATAGATGCAACAATATAGATTTGTTTATTTAATATTTGCTCAATTAGTTTACTTTGTCACCAAGTTAACACAACAATGTTACAGACAGGGAAAAGCCCACAATTTTAGTTTTACATCAATCAGCTTTAACATCAAGACCACCCACCCAATCAGCTGTGAGCAATCATGGAATCACTTTTGGTGAAYGCTTTTTATAGTTTACAACCACTACAAATGAGAATTACTGCACAAAATCTACATTTTGGGACTCCTCGTTTTCTTTTTTTTTTTTTTCAGTTTCCAGCCTATAAATGCTCCAAAGATGAGAACATTTCAAATGTTCCAAAATGATGACCTCATCCCTGTAAATGTCTGATAAAATAAGTGAAAGGGTTAAAATCTTAATCAACCATGAAATTAAAAAAACATCATGAACAAGAGCTTTCACTTGTATAAATAAAAAGCCAAGTGCACAAAGTATAAAGAATATATGTTGTGTAATTATTGGGAGTAAGGACAGGCGGTCAGGGTGAACACARGCCTTCAGTTTGCATCGGGTTCAGGAACGTCACAATTTCCCGAATGCCATCTTCACAAACGGTGGTCTGAGAGGATTTACCGAGGTTCTTTCCCTCTTCTTTAAACCTTATCCACGTTTCTGGGGGGAAAAAATTAATAAAACTGAATTAATGAGAATCAGGTACACAACAAACAAGAAAGGAAAGAAAAACACTTCTAATATAAAGTTATTTTTCTCTACACATTTTCGTAGAACCTAAGGCAGAGCCATTCAACTGGTGGTCTGGGGTGAGCTCAGTCTGGCTCACTGATCTGATGAGTTCATTTAGAATAAAAATYTGATTTTAAATTGGAAACAAAACTTTTAAAACCCTTAAATGACAAATATTTCAGACAAACATTTAGGACTCAGTGCAGAGTCAATCAAGTGGTGGCTCATGGGCCACAAAAAAAGACAAATATTTTGTTCAGAGAGGTGTTTTGTTTATATAGAACCTAAAGAAACTGGCTGGTGGACTGGGTTTTTGCATCAGTTTGCTTCAAATAAAAATGAAATTTCCATAATGACAGCCTGACCTGTTAGTTTTCTATAACAGTGGCCTCCTGAGCAATTGAGTTGAATACACAGGGTAACATCAAATGCTGCAAACCGATAAGTGACATTCTACAAGAGTTGGGTTGTTATCTACAGAGTAGGACCCTGCCAAATAAAAAATAAACACACAAAATAAACCAAATCAGAACAAACCTTCATCGAGGGTTGTAAGAAGCTTGTAATTTTCCGGATGGTCTGTTATGTCTTTTCTCTGAACGTCACCAATGTCCATGATTTGTAAAACATCTGTGAAAAGACAGAAATGACCGTCGTTTTCAAAACAAACTCCTCATGTTTCACTTTCCTGTTGGCCCAAACAGCAAAACCCTCCTCTACCGTCTACGGTGTTCCACGCTTGCACTTCAACTTCAGCCGTACTTTGTCTTTCAACAGCAATGATCCTCATCAGGTTTGGTGGATTAGCTGCCAGAGGCGATTCCACTTTATACACCAGGAGGTTGTTTTTATACCCAGAATAGCACTGAGTCTGGTTAAYGTCAGCCTTACTCTCTGGGAGAAAAAAAAAGAGGATAAAGTTTCCATCCAGTTCGTATTCAATCAGTAAAAGAGCTCGTGTCTTTGCTGAGTCACCCTCAGCTATACCTGGACAAGTCTTGCAGCATTTCCCTGCTGATTTCACAGGATGCTTGCAGGGATACTGGCCAGGACACGTGATCCGTTTGCAGTCCTGGAGGCCATCGGTACAAGTGCAAAGGATGCATTCCAGGACCTTCCCCAAAACTGGATGCCACATGTCTCCATGCGAGTATGTCCTGCCGTTGTATAAACACACTGAGGGAAATGGGAAACATCTGAGTGTTGCTCTGCGCAGTCGTAAAGGCGTGAGGAGCGTGCCCCGTAAAATTAAAAAAATACCCATGCATAAAGTTTTTTTTTTATTTGGACAAAGTCTCACCCTTTTGGTGTTTCCTCTGCAAGAGAAACTTCACAGTGGTGTCCGAAGCCCCTCGGAGGTTGAGTTTACTGAGGCTCGAGGCCTTGCTCCTGGACGGGGTGGGACGGTCTGATTGGAGCCTGCTCTGCTCAGCGGAGCACTGGTCCACCGAATGCCTCTGGTGTAAACAGGGATATAATAAAAGACTGTTGCTCATCTTTTCAGCTCTTGGCTCCACATACTTTCCCCCTTTTGTGGTAGCTTGGGGAGCATCCCACCAAAAAACCTAAATTCTAAAAGACAGCCTGGCTGCAAACTCTTGAAACACTGCCCACAACTCRGAACTTTTTGAGCAACTCCACATGGAAAAACTGAAGGAAAAAGAGCAATTACTGAACCCAATGCTTGACRGAACACAAGATCATTTCTCTTTAAGGATCACAGCTAAAATGATTTGTTTAGCACTAGCCAAGCTGATTAAATGATCAAAGGATCCCTGTAGAAAACGTAACAGCTTGCACTTTATCTTTTTGCCAATGGGACTGGGGGCAGCAGAAACAGCTTACAACCTTCTGAAGCATTTAAAGTTTCTTTTTTTAAAGACAGGCAGTTTTTATCTGCAAAGAGAAGACTCAGGAGCGTACCACTCCTCTGTTCAGCTGCTGGTTTCCATCCTCCGCTGATGAGAATCCATTGGTGCTGGGATCTACAGTAAATACAGAAACACATTAAAAAAGGATCCAGGAGAAATTCCAAAGGAGCTTGCTATTTTTTTTTCTTAGAAAATGTTTTATTTCTTTGTATTTTTGTATTTTTTTGTCTCCTTGATTTTTATCTACAATACCTCAATCTAACACATGCAATTTCACTATCATCACCTATTTTATATCATCTAATAACATCTGATGGGACCTTTGCAGCAGCTATATTGTTTTTATCTTTAGATTATATCACTGGTTTTATTTTTTATTTACACTGTATGCCCAAGTATGCTTATTGTTCTGTGCTTAATTGGTTCTCCAGAGTGTTTGTACTTGTTTCATTGTGTGCTTTAATATTTTTTTCTTTTATATTTTTTATCTCTAATTCTATAGAAGAATTTTGCTGACTTTATTCAAGAGTGCATATTTTCAATTTTTTTTCTTGAATAAGGTCAGTAAAATCCTTCCATACTATATAATTCTTACTTTAACAATTGCAGCTGTAATAATTGCAATTTCCTCCTGGGGACCAATAAAGTATTCTGATTCTGATGGAAAACGCTAATCTTTGACAAGTTTTTGGTAAGTGTTGAGGATAACTTTCAGCTATCCTGCCATAGTTTAGTTGTTCATAAAGATATTTTGYGAATGGATGAGAAACAAATAACTGAAGGCTCTTTTATCTGCTATTAGGGATCACTGACAGTTRCTGTTGCACCAATTTTTAGCTCAAAATCTCCCAAAAAATGACTAAGTTATAGCAACTTTGTGTTTTCCAGATTAGCTTTGGTGGCCATTTTAAATCATGTGGACTAGGATTATCCACCAATCATTTCTGTCAAATGGACATTTCATAAAGGGTTTAGACAGGATTTTAATAATTCTCCATTCATGGGGTACGTTTTAGAGAAATTGCGCTATGRAGGGTTGAATCACCAATGAAAGTAGTAGCACACATCACATAATCTAACAGGTGATATTTTCTTTTTTTTTTTGTGGGGGGGGTCTGCTGCACTGCTTCTTATACTTTTCTTATGGTAAATCCCAATAAGAATAAAAACAAGTTTGTTCTGTTTTTATTGTTGTTAACTTGTTTATTCAAGCAAAGCTAAATTAATTAACCATCATTATGCATCAATTCGTATCTTTATCCACCATTAAATCTTGTATATTCTGAACATTAATTTATGTACAGAGGGTAAAATAAGTATTGAACACGTTACCATTTATTCTCAGTAAATATATTACTAGAGGTGCTAATGACATGAAATTTTCACCAGATGT